CCACGTGCCCTGCCCGGCACGGCGGCAAACGCACACGTGTGTGACGCTGCGAAGGCTGCCCCGCAGAAGGTCCATGGGAGCACCCAAGTTTCTCAAGGAGAACGTAAGGCAGCGGGAGCACGTGGCAGCCTCGGAGGCGTTGGCATCTCTGGGCGCTCTCTGAGCTGCTGGGGCTGGGAGGAACCCCCGGGGGCAAAGTCACCCCCAGCACCCATCACCCTGTGCTCACCCTGACCCCTGGGCCAGGCAGAGGCTCCTGCCTGGTGCCGCTGCTGCTGCTGCTCCAGATGTTGCTCCATGTTCCCCATTTTCTAGCTCTGCAGGGAGCCATCAGCTCTGCTCACCCATCTAAGAGGGGAGCGTGTTTAATGGAATTGGTTTGCAATTTTAGTAGATTAGCGTTTAAGTTCTTCTCCCACCCCCTCCCACATTTAAAATAAAAGGTCTATTTTAAAGCCCCCAGAATGGCATTTTAATGGGGCTTCTCTGTATTTCTGTGCTTTTAATAAAGGTCTTGATAGAGGGATGAGAGCCCAAACCAAGGCACAGTGTATTTTCGGTGCAGCAGGTAGTGATTTGCTGCATTAATTACTCTTTACCATCATTTTGGAAGCTGAACCTGTGATAGGCCATGTAGGAAAGACCCTTCTCTGTGTAGAGCTTGGTCAGTGACTCCTGAGCGTGCAGAGACAGACAGTGCCAGAGCCAGTCCCCGTGGGGATGGAGCCCAGTGCCGGGGTCACGGCATCACACGTGGTGGGCTCTGGGTCTTGAGCTTTTTGTTTATTTTGGTAATGTTCCTCCCCTGCATCAGAAAACAACTCTTTGTTGAGCTTGAGGTGGGTGGGTTTGTAAATTCTTGACTTTCAAAGCAGCCACGACAGTTTGGGGATCCAAGGGACAGGTTCCTGACCCCTGCGGTGGGCAGTGCTGTTCCTTGCCAGCCCGGTGAGATCTTGGGCGGGTTCTGCAATCCCAGACTCCAGAGTCATGGCCGTAGCCAAAACCAGTGGGTGGTGTGTTCGGTGATGGGAAGGTAAATTGCTAGTGCTGACTGCGACAAGACTGGAAGAAATAACTCCTTGAAATAGCCTAGGAGGGGAAAAAAAAGCAGTTCAGGATTTAAAGCTGGTTTTGTGACGGGAGGCCTGAGGCGTGGGGCTGATGCTGAGCTCCAGAGCAAGCTCAGAGCAGAGCAGCTCGGGGACAAGCAGAGGATGTCTAGAGGGGACCAGTGCCGGGTCTCCCCCATCCCTCGTAGCAGCAACCCAGCGTGGGGTTCAACAACTCTTCCTGGGCACTGGCCTTGGTGCAGGAGGTGCCGGCGGCCCCCGCTGCGGGAGCGATGCCTGGGGCCAACCCTGCCCCGCTCCCTGTCCCGCAGGTGCCGTGAGAGCATCCAGCATCTTCCCCATCCTCAGCGTGGGTCTGCTGTTCTTCGGGGGCCTGTGCGTGGCGGCCAGCGAGTTCTACAAGAGCAAACACAACGTCATCCTCAGCGCTGGCATCTTCTTCGTCTCTGCAGGTAGGAGCTGCCCGGCGGGGTCCGGAGCAGGGTGGCTCTCCTGGTGAGAAGCGTGTGGGGACACTGGGGAGCCGGAGACAGGTTGTGGGTCCTCCTGGGCCGTCTGTTTCAAGAGCTGTTGTGTCCTGGTGGAAAAATGCTCATGGCAGGGAAAAAACCAGCAGAGGTTCCTGGCCAGGGGTCACCACGCTGGACAGCACTTTAAGCATCCCCGAGTGGTCTCTGTGCAGCCCAGGAGGGGCTCTTGGAGCGCAGCCATCCCGCTGGGGGAGCACCTGGCCCCGGGGCAGGTTTTGGGGGGCTCTGCCCTCCACCAGCACCAAGCAGCAGGTCGTGGGGCCAGGCGAGGGCGGGCGCTGTGCCAGCAGCAGCTGGGAGCAGGCAGAGGGGCTGCTGCAGTCCTGCAAGGAAATTCGCTCTCTCTGGAGAGGCCGCTCCTTCTGGATTACTCATTTCTCTGTGCACTGTTCCCCAACGCTTCCACTGATTATCGTATGACAATGCCTTTGTCTCAAGGCACCGCTCTATTTTGTGTTTTTCTTCTCCCCACAAAGAGACAAATTACTCTCCCTCCTTCGGCTGGCAGGAGCTGCTGATGCAGATGAGAAAACAACAGAAAGAACATAATCGATTCATTAAGTAAATCCAGGAATACATCAGCCGCTCCCCAGCCCTGCGGCACAGCCCCGCGGCGCTGCTGGCAGTGCAAAAACTGCCCGGATCCCAGACAAAGCCTCTGGGCTCCACCAGAAATGAAAAGAGACGGAGCCATTCCCACTTCCCTGTGCTCCCAGGAGAGCCGGGGTTTGTGCCGGAGGGATCCCCTCTGTGCCCTGCGGGTTGGCTCTGCTCCGGCCACAGCCCCAGTGCCCGGCACCAGCCGGGTTCCTGCGGCCCTTTGCTCAGCAAGCAGCTCTGCAAAGCAAAACCGGCTCTTGAAGTAGGATCGTAGAATGTATTGGGTTGGAAGGGACCTCTAAAGGTCATCTAGTCCAACCCCCCCACAGTGTCCCTTTTCTAAACAAAATAGTGGTTGTTCCTCCTGCTCCTCCAATATACGTGAATATTCGCGTACTCCGGGTGTGTGTGAGTATGTACCTGTGCTGGGGGTGGCAGCAGGGGTCTGAGGGATTTGGTCCTGGTCTGCTGGCACAGGGGTTGGCGCCCCATGGGACCTGGGGATGCGGCCATGGCCCCCGGCACCCTCCCCGCCTCCTGGGCACCCCGTGGGTCGTGGTGGGCAGGAGAAGGGCCAGGCTCCTCCAGCCTGCACGCCTCTGCTGCCAGGAGGGGACCGGGGTGCTGCTGTCCCTCTCCTGCTGCTCAAGCGAGTGATTCTCCCTCTCATCCTCCCCTGAAGGTCTCAGCAACATCATCGGGATCATAGTCTACATCTCGGCCAACGCGGGGGACCCGGGGCAGAGCGACTCCAAGAAGAGCTACTCCTACGGCTGGTCCTTCTACTTCGGAGCCCTGTCCTTCATCATCGCTGAGATGGTGGGGGTGATCGCTGTGCACATGTACATCGAGAAGCACCGCCAGATCCGCGCCAAGTCCCACTCGGAGCTGCTGAAGAAGTCAGCCTTCACCCGCCTCCCCCCCTACAGGTACCGCTTCCGCCGGCGGTCCAGCTCCCGCTCCACCGAGCCCCGCTCCCGGGACATGTCGCCTGTCAGCAAGGGGTTCAGCACCATCCCCTCCACCGACATCTCCATGTTCACCCTCTCCAGGGATCCCTCCAAGATCACCATGGGGACGCTGCTCAACTCGGAGCGGGACCACGGTTTTTTACAGGTCCATAACTCCATCCCCAAAGAGTTCAAGGAGTCTTTGCACAACAACCCGGCCAACAGACGAACCACGCCGGTCTGAGGCGGGCAGGGGCGTTTTGTCAGGCTGCATGACATCATCCTCGTGACGGTGTAACCCTGAAATCCCGTTTTTAAGGACAAACCCAGGTGGCTCCCCATGCCCCTACCCGTGGGGCTGGTTTTTCACTCCTGAAATGCCACTGGCCGGGCCAGGCCACTGCGCCCACGGTGGGACCGGGACCCCCGTGCCCCTCCCTCCCCGGCAGGGAGGGGACGGGGGCTGCGCTGTGACCCTGGCCGTGGTGCCCCTGCGGACTGAGCGGGGCTTCCCGAGGTCTCCATCGTTAATGTTGATCATAATCGCAGTGTTCCCTTAGCTGTATGTCCCATGGAAATGCTGGCGATAGCCCTGTCTGTGAGAATCCTTAACCTGGTAGTTACATTTAAGCGAAATTGCCTGGAAGTCCGGAGTTTGAAGCACTGAGTCGGTGCCGTAGTGAGTGCTCGTGTTACGAAACCCCTTTCCCTGCTGTGGTGGACGGAGTGCTCGGGCTGGGTTTCTCTATGGCGTTTCGTGCATGCATTAAATAGCTTGGAATTCAATTTTGTCATGTCGGGTTGGAAGAAACATCCTTTTGCAATTTTCTGTGGTCTTGAAAGGGCTTCTTTCTTTCCTTCTTTCTTTCCTTTTTTCTTCCTTTGGTGCATTCAGGCCATGAAAGGACTCAGGAGCAGAATTCCTCCAATGACTGGTAGCAATTAGCCAGCGTTTAATTAACCTCTAATGTTGCAAGAAAACGAAATAATTCCCTAAAATTAGTACACACGCAGTCACAAATTACTGTCTGGGCACAACCAAGGAGGCGACGCTTGACCTGGTGGTACTGAAGGAGAAGCTGGGTGGATGGCTGGGCCGCCGGCCACGAGCTGCGTGCGGGTGGTGTATGATTCCGTGATGGCTGGGAGGTGGATGAGAAAAAGAACAATAAAATTGTCCAGTTTGGCAAGCAAGTTCCTTGGCTGAGTGGGTCGCGCTGACCCTGCTGCGGGCAGCTGGAAAACCGTGCGCTGTGTCTCACGGGTGTTTCACAGCGGCCTCGCCCTCCCCCGTGGCTGCGTGGGGTGCAGGGGGTCTGGGGGAGCAGCCCCTGCCCCGCTCTCCTGCCCTTGGCGGTGCTGCCTTGGTTTGCGGTGGGGGGCTTGGCCAGGTAGCGGCAGTTGGTGGGGTACAC